CTTAAAGCTTATGAAATTACATTTTTCTTTTAGAATAGAGTCTAAAAGAAAGCTGGTTTACATAATAAAGTCTCATAGTGCCCTCCTTTCCCTCTTGTATTGAACTGTATTGTTGCTGTATTGTCTCCAGTTCTAAGCGCTGAGCAAACTGTTGGCGCTATATAAATCCTGTCTAATAATAATAATAATAGTGGATAAGAGGCCAGACTGAGCCTAGAACCTAATTTATGAAACCTATGTAAACGTGTAATGTGTATTCACAGCATCTCTGTTATTATAGCAGAAAGTCACATAACACATTTTCTGCCATTAAAGTATTAAAAAAGGACACAACGTGTTAATAACTGGATGTAAGGTCTATCCATAGACATAGGACAATTGTCACCGAATACTGGCAGACTGCCAGAGACATTCCCTGGTCACCATTTGTTGCATATACTATGTATGTTCATGTCACTGATGTATGACGCCATATCTGGTGAAGACAACTCGGTATTCTAAAAAGCTTGCACTAAAGTATATTAGGTTAGCTAGCAAAAAAAGGTGTTGCTTACATTTTCACATCCTTTCTACTATCTATGGCGAACGTGGCATATTATTATTACCGTATTGAGTACAGACACCAAGAGAAAGCACTATGAAAGTTTTCAGGTACTACTAAAAGCTATACAACATGTACAATAGGGTGTTTACTCCTACAGTTTTTATAAAGTTTAATCTTTTATTAGAGGATGGACCTCTAACCGTACACAAAGGATGTACAAATAACCATACATAAAGTGAACAAAATTTCCACAGACCATACCCAAAAATACTTCAAGGTCTCCCGCGGCGACGGAGAGCGGGCCTCTCCTTGTGTCCCCCACAGCGGTGGAGAGAAGACCTCTCCTCAAGTCCCCCGCGGCAGTGGAGAGCGTCTCCTCTCAGCAGAGGAGAGCGGACCTCTCCTACACCTGTCCCCTCAGCGGCGCTGCCAGTGTAATGGTGGTGCCGAAGAAGCCGGATGTTGTAAACCGGAACTCTGCTTCACAATGAGGCTTGGAGTGCAGGTGCAGCCACTCCATCCATCATCTGTGCTCGCCACACAGGAATTTCTACTCGCATTTGGCGAGCGGGCAAGCGGCTTTTTCAAGTCCTGTGCTAACACACCCTAATGTACCTAATGTTCAGTCATGCGATTTATGCTTTGGCATTGGCCATGTGGTCTTTGCCTGAATCAGTCCCTCAAGATCCACTGCATTGGCAAAGCCATTGATGGTCTACCTCTTTTTGAAATCTGTTGATTTGTGTCATTAAGATATACAGTGAGTTACCACACCTGTGTTTTAGTGTGTGATGTGTTGTTGAAGCCTATTTTTGAATAGGCTGCTAACACACCTTAACAAACCTAGAGTTCACTCATGTGACTTGTATATTGACATTGGCCACATGGTTTCTACCAATGCAGAGGATCTTGAGGGACTGATTCAGGTAAGGCTACCTCCTTTTTGAAGTCTGTTGTTTCTAGTACCCAAGATGTGGTCATTACCCCATATGTGTTAATTTGTGTTGTGTTATTGCAGGCTGTTCATTTTGAATATACTTCTAACTTATAGTAACGAACCAGTCATGTGACTTTTGAATTGACATTGGCCATGTGGTTTCTGCCAATGCAGAGGATCTTGAGGGACCCACTCAGGCAAGGCCATTGATGGTCTACCTCTTCTAGAAGTTTGTTGATTCTAGTTGTGCTACCACGCATGCATTCATTTGTGTTGTATTATTGCAGCCTAACTCATGGCAACAACCCAAAAACCTAGCGTTCACTTGTGAGACTTCTTTGTGTTATGTCATTTCAGGCTAGTCATTTTGAATAAACTTCTAACTTATGGTAACGAACCAGTAACCCTGTGTTCAGTCATGTGACTTATGCATTGGCATTGGCCATGTGGTTTCATCCAATGCAGAGGATCTTGATTCAGGCAGGACCACTGATGGTCTGCTTCTTGATTTCAGTCCCCAAGACCTCCTATCAGGGATCACAATATCTATGCCTGATCCTAAATCACCAATAATTATCTGTATTGTCTTGGTAGGCATTTCCTATGTGATGTGTTATGTTGTTTTTGTAAGAATTATTCTTTTCCTGGTAATTTTCTCTTTCACAATAAACACAAAATAATGCCCTTAGATCTTTCAAATCAGAAAGGTCAAACATTTTTTTTTTTTTACAGTTCTGTCCCTTATAGGGCATAGTACATGTAGTACTTTGTCCCATGTTTCTAACTACTTTCTAACCCTAGCTAGGAGGTCCTGGCTGCCCCCTTACCCTTTTGCTGTGGCCGATCCGACAACCGCTATGATGAAGATAAATAATTGACAGAGCAGCTTGTCTCGGCTATGAACACTTTTCAAAGACAAGCGGCAGCAAAAACAATGTAAAGGAAGGGGGTACATGTCAGTCTATGCATACCTCTGGCCGCTGCTTGTCTCGGGAAAGTGCTCACAGTCAAGACCAGCTGCGCTGTCAATCATTCATCTTCTTCATAGCTGTTGTTGCATCAGTCACAGCAGTAGGGTAGGGGGGCAGACTGGACCTCATAACTAGGGTTAGAAAGTGCTTAGAAACATGAGACAAAAGTACATGTATGTTGTCCTATGGGGGACAGCTATGAAGGAGAAGGATGATTGATGGCTGCAGCTTGTCTTGGCTGTGAGCACTTTCTTGAGACAAACAGAGGCAAGAAGAATGTAGAGAAAAGGAGGACGTGTCAGCCCTTGCATACCTCTAGCCGTTGCTGGTCTCCGGAAAGTGCTCATAGCTAAAACAAGCTGCAGCTATGAATTACTGTCTTCTTCATAGCTGTTGTCAGATTGGCCACAGCAGGAACTGAGAGGGCAGGTCGATCCTCAGAACTAGGCTTAGAAACAGTGGACAAAGCACTACATATACACGGCTCAAAAAAATTACAGGAACACTTTGAAAACGCAGGATTTATATAGCGCCAACAGTTTGCTCAGCGCTTAGAACTGGAGACAATACAGCAACAATACAGTTCAATACAAGAGGGAAAGGAGGGCACTATGAGACTTTATTATGTAAACGAGTCCATTTTGCTGAAATTTCACTGTAGGAACTCAGAATGCTCTTCAGTAGTTTCCACGTGGTTGCATGCATGCCTGACAACGTCGGGACATCCTCCTAATGAGACAACGGATGGTGTCCTGGTGTCAACGGAGTGTTTTCTCCCAGATCTGGACCAGGGCATCACTGAGCTCCTGGACAACCCGATGTGCAACCTGGCGGCATCAGATGGCCCGAAACATGACATCCCAGAGGTGTTCTATTGGATTTAGGTCAGGTGAGCGTGGGGGCAATTCAATGGTATCAATTCCTTCATCCTCCAGGAACGGACTTCATACTCTCACCACATGAGGCCGGGCATTGTCGTGCACCAGGAGGAACCCAGGACCCACTGCACCAGCGTAGGGTCTGACAATGGGTCCAAGGATTTCATCCCGATACCTAATGGCAGTCAGGGTGCCATTATCTAGCCTGTAGAGGTCTGTGTGTCTCTCCATGGATATGCCTCCCCAGACCATCACTGACCCACCACCAAAACGGTCATGGTGAACGATGTTACAGGCAGCATAACATCCTCCATGGCTTCTCCAGACTCTTTCACGTCTGTCACATGTGCTCAGGGGGAACCTGCTCTCATCTGTAAAAAGCAAAGGATACCAGCAGCAGACCTGCCAATTCTGCTGTTCAGTGGCAAATGCCAGTTGCACTCTATGGTGCTGCGCAGTGAGCACAGGGCCCACTAGAGTTTCTGATTGTTTGGTCAGAGACATTCCCACCAGTGGCCTGCTGGAGGTCATTTTGTAGGGCTCTGGCAGTGCTCATCCTCTTCCTCCTTGCACAAAGGAGCAGATACCGGTCCTGCGGATGGGTTAAGGACCTTTTACGACCCTGTCCAGCTCCTAGAGTAACTGCCTGTCTCCTGGAATATCCTCCATGCTCTTGAGACTGTGCAACCTCTGTAGGGTCCAGGTATGTCCTCATGCTACCAGTAGTGACACTGACCATAGCCAAATGCAAAACTAATTAAAAACAGTCATAAAAGATGATTAGGGGAAAAAAAAAATGACAGTGGCCTCCACCTGTAAAACCATTCCTGTTTTGGGGGTCAGCTCATTGTTGCCCATCTAGTGCACCTGTTGTTAATTTCATTAACACCAAAGCAGCTGAAACTGATCAACAACCCCCTCTGCTACTTAACTGACCTGATCAATATCCCAGGAGTTTCATTGACTTGATGCTATACTCTGATTAAAAAGTATTCCTAATTTTTTTGAGCAGTGTACTTTGTCTCGTAGGGTACAGAACTGTAAAAAATTATAACAATAGCTCTTCTTTAGTTCAACCACAAGAAAGTGTGATCCTTTCAGTCAGTTAGGCCTCTAGTGGTAGACTATCGCTAAAAGAGAGGACAACAACCATTTTGTAGTACTTATGAGTGTATATGGCTGCCCCCGTATACATACAGTATATGATCACAACCTATTTACAAAAACAAGGTTTGGTTTTTAACACATTATTATTGAAAAACTTTAAAGTAGGCTATAACGTCTGTATAAAAGGAGAATATATTTTCCTATAATAATAGCACGTTAGGAGGAAAGTCTAAAAAATTACAATGACTTAGTGGTTGAGTACAATAACCAAGTACCATGAAGCACTTGGCTCCCTAGACACTATCTGCATGGAGTATGCATGCTCTCACTGTGCTTGTATGGGTTTCATTCCACACTCCAAATACATGCTGGTAGATTAGTTGGCTGCTGTATAAATTGTCCCTAGTATGCGTGTTACAAAGGGGACCTTCAATTGTAAGCTCCTTGAGGACAGGGTTTGATATGAATGTACAGTAATGTAAAGTGCTATAGAAGTACCTGTAAGAAAAAAAAAAAGGGGGGGATGCTAATAAAGCAAATAAAAGGTATTAGGATCTAAATGATATCTGCTTATTTCATTCTCTGTTTTCTAGGTGCCCCAGTTCTATTTATGGCTCCTTGGGTGGCTGTCAAGTATACATATGAAAATGATCAGTAAGTATGTGCAGGAAGCTGTAGGGGTGGGTGTACCATTTTGTTAAAAAAAAACATGATTTTAAAATGCTAGGATGTCCGGAGTGGTTGAATATTCACTAGAACATCACCTCTCCATACTAGCCTGCTTATTGGACAGTTAAAGAGGAGCAAACTGATGAGGTAATCTCTCTGCTCACTTTTCCTTTCAGTATGTTCCTTGCAAGGTAGGACTAGTAACCTTGGGCCTGGCTGGTAAACACAAGCCTCTAACCTTTTCTTGGTAGGGGGAACTGATTTCTGTGGAGTCACAGTGAATGGTGGTCATGGCGAAAGGTGGGAGTTCCTAAAGAACATGGTTTAGGTCTCCCCTTTTCACATAACATCTCAGAGCCAAAAAAGGAATGTGGTGCTGAAAGCAGATTCCTATGGAACTTCCAGCATATGTCACTGCTTATGGGCTCTGCTCAGGAGTTTCTCCACCCAGGGCCACCAGTCCCACCTATCGCTGGCCCAGGGCAAGTTGCCCCCAGCGTGGTCTTCCCCCAATTCCTTGTCGGCACATGCACAAGCAACACACCTGATTGTCTCCCAGTGCTGTCCCCTTCCTCTCCAGTCTGAGCTCTGCTATACAGGGAATTCTCAGGAGTATCTCCACCCAGGGCCACCAGTCCCACCTATCACTGGCCCAGGGCAAGTTGCCCCCAGCTTTGTTGGCACATGCAACACACCTGATTGTCTCCCAGTGCGGTCCCCTTCGTCTCCTAGTGCTGTTCTCTTCCTCTCCAGTCTGAGCTCTGCTATACAGGAAATTCTCAGGAGTATCTCCACCCAGGGCCACCAGTCCCACCTATCGCTGGTCCAGGGCAAGTTGCCCCCAGCTTGGTCTTCCCCAAATTCCTTGTCGGAACATGCACAAGCAACACACCCGATTGTCTCCCAGTCTGAGCTCTGCTATACAGGGAATTGAGGCAGCTAACCAGGTTGAATTCCAGTACACTGCTTGCATTAACAAAAAACAAAACAAGAAACATTTAATAATTTATCAAGAAATACAGAGCTGCATTCATGTGTGTCTTTTCTATCTGCCTACAGTTTAGCTTTAGTAGTGCCGCTGGATTAATGTTTATATTGTACACACATTCACACCAGATAAATTAGTCATTGAATCTCAAAACCAGTTTATCGCCTAGATTCCAGTTGTGTCGGCACAGCCAGTAGTAAGCTCCCTTCCACTGCGTGTGTTTTCTGTACTGCAGTCCTTGCGCTCTGGTTTGGCGTTCTTCTTGCCGGACATTAGCTGATGCCAACGCTAACATAACATTGACTAAGCAAACCGACCGCAGGTGATGATCACACAGCTCAATTTGTATGAAATGGCTTGTGTTTATCTAGGAGCTGCTGTACATGATAAGACTCATTATGCCTGTCACACAGACTGGCCAATTTCCTGGAGCGCTGGAGCGAAGCCAGATGTCAACAGACCGGTTTACAAACCTGTAAACCTCCAACGCCAATACAGACCTCATATCTCCCGCCACTTGCTCAGATTATACTCATTATAGACCACTAAAGGGAAACTCTGGATACATTTCTTTGAAGACCCATTTAGAAGGTGTTTTATCCATCAAGACTTGCCAACAAATACCCATAATTATGATCATCTGCCCCTTCTGTATGAGGAAAACCATTATTGAAAAATCTGCAATTTCACCCCATTCCATCGCCCCACCTCCTACCTTCTCTTTGGACAGTTGGCAAACGTCACTATGTTGGTGGTGCCCAACCTGACCTCTCTTTCTCCGGAGGTCCACCTAACTACCTTCTCTTGCTGCCCCATCAACTCACAGCAAGTCTTATTTAAATTTTCAGCCGGCCTGTGACCACCTAGTATAACAGTTTTGAAGGAATGTATGAAATAGAGATGATTCGTTTTATATTTTTCCTCCTTTAAATGACTCCACTGGAGAAGTGGTGTTTGGCGGTGCGCTGGGACGGCACAACTGTGCCACTAGGAAGAGCCTAACCTACCAGAATGAAGGCAGGTGTTGCCCCCATACCGACGCTACTTGCCAGCAACCTTTACCTGTGCAATTCGCTTTCCATAACAAGCCCTGTTCGTCATCTACCACTTGGAGACCTAACTCAAAAGGTCCCTCACCAAGATGGCTGCCAGAGGTCACCAGACGTTGCAATGTCCATTCAGACACCTCGTACCTCTGAGACACCAATGGAGTCCATGAGGCTACATTTCTTTTAACAGACTCCACGCCATCTATATAATAGCACAGTGCCACCTACTGGATGGAGGGAAACCTGCACAGTAGTAGGTTCACTGTACAGTAGAGAGCCTAAGCAGCACTTAATCTGTTCTAACCTTACCTGCACTCTCCCAGAATCCTGCTGAGCAAGCTGAAAACATATGCAGGGCTAGATCTTATTTCACACCAATGTGACCGTGCATGGGCTTGGCAATTGGTTGCTACAGACCTTGAGTGCTGTATCAGGGATCCCCAAAAAACATATGTATCTGGTGATTCCTGGGTGGTCTGGAGGTTGAATAGGATGTCAGGTAGGGAAACGCTGTGAGTTGATGGGGCAGGTAGATAAGGAGGCAGTGTTTCCACTCTCTCTGTCCTTATTGACAACTGTTAATTTTTTTTTTTTATTCCCATCACTTTCTGTACAGGTGACAATGGCCACAGATAGCAATAAAAACCTAACAGAGGTTCTAACTCAGGGGTCTCCAAACAAAGGGCTGGTGTACTGTCCTTCAGACTTTATGAGGACCGGAGTGGTCAGTGGGAGTAGAAAATGTCCCAGCGTCAGTAGGAGTAAAAAAAAAAAAAATGATGTAGTCAGTGGAAGGAGGAATAGTGCCCCATCATTGGTGTCAGTGGGAGGGATAGTGCCCCATCATTGGTGTCAGTGGGAGGGATAGTGCCCCATCATTGGTGTCAGTGGGAGGGATAGTGCCCCATCATTGGTGTCAGTGGGAGGGATAGTGCCCCATCATCGGTGTCAGTGGGAGGGATAGTGCCCCATCATCGGTGTCAGTGGGAGGGATAGTGCCCCATCATCGGTGTCAGTGGGAGGGATAGTGCCCCATCATCGGTGTCAGTGGGAGGGATAGTGCCCCATCATCGGTGTCAGTGGGAGGGATCGTGCCCCATCATCGGTGTCAGTGGGAGGAATCGTGCCCCATCATTGGTGTCAGTGGAAGAGATAGTGCCCCATCATTGGTGTCAGTGGGAGGGATAGTGCCCCATCATTGGTGTCAGTGGGAGGGATAGTTGCCCCATCATTGGTGTCAGTGGGAGGGATAGTTGCCCATTATTGGTGTCAGTGGGATGAAGAGTGCCCCATCATTGGTATCAGGAAGGAATACTGTCTCATCCTTGGTATTAGTTGGAGGAATAGCTCCCCAAGGTCCAGGTAGAGGCAAGCAAAGGGCCGCAGTTTGGAGACAACTGTTCCTACCCTTCTACACTCCACCTCCAGCATAAATTTAATTTGTTCTGAATGAACTTAAAATCTTCGCTTGTAAATAGATGGACGATCCTCACATTAAGATGAAACAAATAGGCTTCTTGAATAATATTTACAGACTTTTTTTTTTATCCCAGACCGTGCTAAATTTTTGTTTCTTCATTTAGGTGCTGGACCATAAATATCAACATGGGATACTGGTGGATCCTGCGGTCACCGGTGCTTCTTGCAATAACGGTAATTATATTTGTTTTTTTTTAATCCAGTGTGTGGGGGCAGTTTCACATGGACTGTGCACTGAGGTGCACTATCAGCTTTAAGATCGGTGCACCCTTGAAATTAAAATTTCTGGCGAGGGTGCTCCTCTTTCCAAAAATTAAAGTGTTACTAAACTCAGGACCCTGCATTCACTATATCCGGTCTTCCCGGACCGTGCATTCACTATATCCGGTCTCCCCGGACCCTGCATTCACTATATCCGCTCTCCCAGGACCCCGCATTCACTATATCCGGTCTCCCCGGACCCCGCATTCACTATATCCGGTCTCCCAGGACCCCGCATTCACTATATCCGGTCTCCCAGGACCCTGCATTCACTATATCCGCTCTCCCCGGACCCTGCATTCACTATATCCGCTCTCCCCGGACCCCGCATTCACTATATCCGGTCTCCCCGCACCCCGCATTCACTATATATCCGGTCTCCCCGCACCCCGCATTCACTATATCCGGTCTCCCCGCACCCCGCATTCACTATATCCGGTCTCCCCGGACCCCGCATTCACTATATCCGGTCTCCCCGGACCCCGCATTCACTATATCCGGTCTCCCCGGACCCCGCATTCACTATATCCGGTCTCCCCGGACCCCGCATTCACTATATCCGGTCCCCCAGGACCCTGCATTCACTATATCTGGTCTCCCCGGACCCTGAATTCACTATATCTTGTCTCCCACAGTACACACAACATGGAAATGCAATTATTTTAGTAAATATAAACTGCTAAACACCTTTTCTGATCAGCAGTTAGAGCAGTCTTGTGACTTCTATCAGTGTTCAGCAGAGCTCTGGTTAATCTTGTAGGAGGAGTTTTCTTTCTGCTTTAGGAGCATGCTGGACCCCTGACCTCTGTCTAGACCGTGCTGATCACTTTCACTCTCCCAAGGGGGAAAAAAAAAACCTCTAGCACTACACCTTAAACTGAGCATGTGCAGAATGGCTATGGCTCAGTCTGTGTTATCAGGAGATAAGAAGTGGACATTTGAACAAGGGGAGGAGCAGAGAAGACAGGATCAAACAGCCTTTTTACACAATGCAGAGAGGATTAACCCCTTAGATTCCACAGTGAGTATAACAAGCATGCTTTACTGCATCTACAGACTGATTGTACTGTTGTGGGTTTAGTAACACTTTAATTTCAGCCATTTTCAAGCCACTGGGAATCCTAAATCTGATCACAAATAATCTCCAAGAACAAAGCAGTCAATCCCCAGAACTCAGTTAATTGTAAAATTGAAACTGGGCAAAAATGTTGACACCTTCGAGACAATTTATTTAAAGATCAATGTTTAGTGGAATCAAATGTTGATCAGGGCAGTTTGGATTCAAACTCCTTTGATAAGACCAGGGGTGGGTAGGAAGGACAGCTGCCCGGGGCATAGTGGAGTAAGGGAATACTTTAAAGTATACCTAAAAGGTAAAACATTTCTGTTTTTAGTTTTGGATGAGTGGAGAGAGATTAGAACCCCTGTCATGTTTTTGTTGCTGTCAGTGCCCCCATAAGGCTTGGTTCACATCTATGCATTTTTTGTGCTTTTTTCAGAAATGCATTACAGTCCATTTTAACATGGTTTCCTATGGGACGTGTTCACATCTGTGCGTTTTTGAGCCGCTGTGTTTTTGGAAAGGGTCAGGGACTTTTTTTTAAACACAAAATGTTGTATTTTGGTTCAATAGACTTCAATGGAGACTCTGTAGAAAATACATGTAATGCATTCTTGGCGCGTTTTGATGCATTTTTAATCTGCCCAACAGCAAGTTGTCCCTCCAAAAAAAAGCAGAAAAACGGAGAAACACTGCAGAAAAGGACAAAACACAAACTGCATTGGTGTGAACCAGTCCTTAGGGAGATTCACATTTTTTGTCCAGTTCTGGCAACTTTGGTGACAACAGATTTCTTCACTTTGGAGGGATTTCCATTCACTTCCTGTTGTGGCTATGCAGACTGATTTTACTGTTGTGTGTTTAGTAACACTTTAAAGTGTATTTCTAATCAAAACCTTTTTTTAATGTTTTGAATAGCATGGGGAAGAATTAGAACCTCTGTCAGGTGTTTGTTGCGGTCTGTGTGCCCCTATGGGAAATACCCTTCACTCCCTGCCAGCATGATGGTCGGCGGGCAATTAACCTCTTCACGACGGCCGGACACATGTGTGGCCTCCCGGCATCTGGGCCTAGACGCGTAAAGCTCCCGATCTCCTCTTTCGATCGGGACCTTTCCCAATCATGTGACCGCTGTGATGGCGTGTCACGGTGATCACATGACCCTAAACCCCGCCCCGCCTCCCGGCTTCTGAAACCCTTAAAGGGCCGGGAGGGGTTAAGGAAGTGGAGAACCAATAGCCACAAAATGCTAACAGGGGTTTTAGATCTTCGACTCTGAAAGCTGAACCCCAAGCACAAAAGCTTTCATTTTAAATATATTCCCTAATAGCCATAAAGGATATAAATCCACTTTGTGTGCACAAAGTGCCTTTGCAAACCCAGATATCACCCTGTAAAAGTAGCGGTGACGTCATCAATGTGCCGTACATAACCTGTGCAGATGGGCAGTGCTGTGGGAGTCACTGAGCAAGCTCCATCCACTTCCGGCTGCCTGCAGAATACTCCAGGAGGGGGCAGAGAAAAGACCAGCCACCTTGCACAAGGAGAGAGAGCAGCAGGGGCCAGTCTTTGTTAAAGGAGACATCTCCTGCTAGAATGCCTGCTATCCAGGTGTCTGTTAGTGAGATTTGCTCTTACTCACTGCCACAAGAACAATGGTTTGCCTCCATATATACTCAGGGGCAGACTGACAACTCATGGGGCCCCCGGGCAATAGGGGATCATGGGGCCCCTGTGTCCTTGCCCAAACTCAAAAAAGCCTATGAAAAAAGGTACCAGGGGCATCTCATGGGGCCCCCCACTGACCCCGGGCCCTCGGGCAGCGCCCGAGTTTCCAATTGGTCAGTCCGCCCCTGTTTATACTTTAATAGTTGGAAAAGAAAATTCCGTTTTTATTTGCAAAACTCTCTGTGGGGATGCAGCAGCTGTGCTCTAACACTGTGGGATTGTTTTGCCATGAGACAAACCCTTGTAAAAATAGGAGAACGCCAAAATGTTTCGATTTCCATGACAATGGAAATTTTTTTTCTCCCACTTTGTAGATCAACTTTTTAATATTCATGCGGATAATTCAGATTCTGTTGTCGAAGATGCGAGCTCATCAGATGAGGTACACAGACTATAAACTCAGGTGAGAGACATGTGACATCTGCAAAACAGCGGTACAAGCCGCGGGGACGGCGCTGAGGCTGCAGAGGGCAGACTGTAGTTTGCTAGTTAAAGTGCTTCTGTACTCCAGTAAAAAAAAAAATCATGCTGAAAAAGGAGGCGGTGAGGATGATGTTGTACTTGGTTTATACCAATGGAGAAAGTTTTGGGGTATTTTTGTAAGGGTCATGTTAAAGTCAAGCACAGAGCAATCTGTCACCACAGGATACAACGGATGACCGATCAGTGTACTGGCCAGTACCATGTGATTGCTGTGACCAATCACAGCAGATCACATAACAATTTTATACAATGGATGGCTTTCATTCACGCCATCCATTGTGTACATCTCTGTGATTGGTCACAGTAATCACATGGTACATACATGGTCAATCACAGCCCATTTGTACTCCCTGGGATTAGCTGTGGCCAATCACAACTAACCACAATAGTATACACTGAATGAATCGATTTAATTCAGAAAAATGGTTGCTTCACACTGTGAAATTCACTGATAGATAGATATATATATATCATCATTCGCCCCAGAGTAGTACAATGTTACTATGGTAACACAGTATTGCACTAATCAGTGTGTTAAAAAAAAAGAAAAATAATATAATATATATTTTTTCCATGCTGTCACCAATCAGTGTCCCTGATCACCGCCACACCAGTTATATGATGATGCTGTACTACACTGGTGACAGTATGTAAAAAAAAAAAAATGGTGAAACAAACTATTAAAAAAAAAAATTCTCTATTTTCCCCAAAATTGTGACAAAAATTACAACTTCAAGGTATTTAGTAAGAGGCATGGCGAGCTTTTTGGACTGTCTACTTTCCAAATAGAGGTCATTTGGGGGAGGGTATTTGTACTGTCCTGATGTATTGGGCCTCAAGAAATGAGAGATGAGGCGGTCAGTACATCAGAACTGAACGATTTTCAGATACATATACTCCTTCTGTACTGAAACTATTGTAATTGTAATGTTTCCCTTATATTGTAAAGTGCTGCGCAAACTGTTGGCGCTATATAAATCCTGTATAATAATAATATACCATAGTTTGTGGACTCTAACGTTCCTACAGACTAAATAATATACACGGATTTGGGTTATTTTCACTAAAGAAATGTAGCAGGATAGAGTTTGGCTTAAATTTATGAAGAAAGCGTATTTATTTGCAAAATTTTATACCAGAAACAAAGAAACACTTTTTTTTCTTCAATATTTTTCAGGGTTTTTGCAAAAAATAAAAAGACCAAGTGGTAATTAAATACCACCAAAGAAAGCTCTATTTGGGTGAAACAATGATAAAAATGTAATATAGGTGCAGTGTTGCATAACCATGCAATAGTCATTCCAAGTGCAACAGCACTGAAAGCTGGCCTAGGCAGGAAGGGGGTGAAAGTGCCCAGTGTTGAAGTGGAAGTTTGAGCTAAACTCATCCACTCTCAGACCCGCTCCTACCCCATTCTAAGTCCTAACTAGCCTGTAGAAGAAAGATGTCTATACTTCCCTATTCTAAGGGCTCCCCTGGTCCGGTCACATGATTTGGCTCCCACAGTTGACTTCAGGGGATAAAGAAGCGACGACGGCCACACTGCCTAGGCGATGACTTCACCCATAGGCTTACTATGGAGCATCCATTGTTGGATGTCCTTCCGGTCCAGTCATGTGATCAGCACCAAGTGCCGGCTTCAGGGGAGAGGAGCACCGAGGGAATAGGTAAGTAGACATCTTTTCTCTGCATGGTAGTTAGTAGAAGGCTTAGAATGGGAGAGGGAGCAGGTTTAGGAGGTTTAGGAGTCGATCAACCCAAACTTCCACTTGAAGGATATAGAGGCCAGTGGGTGCAACAACTGTGTGCAGCAGGGCAGGCATCTGCTGCAGGACATTTCAGATGCTCAAGAATGTTTGGCAGTTGTAGCTTTTCCAGGGTAATGGGACTGGTAATTCGTATGAATCTTCTGGCTGCTTTTTTTTTCTCAATTTAACAATAATGGCCATGTTGGAATGAGAGATGTGGTTTATTACCCTTCAAATAACTCTAACACCTTTACAGGGCAAAAATGCATTTCCTGACACTTTAAAACAAGTCAAGCAGGGGTGGATACATGACTGGAGATGGTACAACAGCTTCACCTGTCTATTACTATGTCTTCTACCAGGCTGGCAAGATCCACGCTCACACTCATCCCTCTGCTGGGCATTCATGAAGTGGTGTTTGCGCTGGTCACCGATGAGACTGCACTCGGAACCCTAAGACTAGTGAAACTTTTCTTTGACCTCTTTATCGGCTCATTCCAGGCAAGTTAAAAGTAGAAATATTGGCTTTATGAGATTATGATTAAAGAGACCCTGTTACCAGTCTAAAAAATTGGTGAGGTAAAAGCACAGAGAAATCAAGCATTTTAAAAGCTTGCTTCCAGCTTTTTTTTTTTTCCTTTCTATAAATTATTTTTTTATTGACTTACAATCTGCCATTGAACTTGCTTGAAAATTTGACTACTCTAGGAAGAGACCATTCCCTAGCACAGCCAACTCCCTTCTTGCATGTCATAGCCATCTCCTCTGCTGGGAGGGTCTAAGTACAGTGTCCCTTCACCTCTCCCTCTCCCTTCACCTCTCCCTCCCCCTTCACCTCTCCCTCTCCCTTCACCTCTCCCTCTCCCTTCACCTCGCCCTCTCCCTTCACCTCCCCCTTCACCTCTCCCTCCCCCTTCACCTCTCCCTCCCCCTTCACCTCTCCCTTCACCTCTCCCTTCACCTCTCCCTTCACCTCCCCTTCACCTCTCCCTTCACCTCTCCCTTCACCTCTCCCTTCACCTCTCCCTTCACCTCTCAACATAAATTTTTTTATGTATCTGCTGGGGAAGAAGTGAAACAGAATACTATAGAGCAGTCCTTCTCAATCACCTCTCCCTCCCACTTCACCTCTCCCTCTCCCTTCACCTCTCCCTCTCCCTTCACCTCTCAACATAAATTTTTTTATGTATCTGCTGGGGAAGAAGTGAAACAGAATACTATAGAGCAGTCCTTCTCAATCACCTCTCCCTCCCACTTCACCTCTCCCTCTCCCTTCACCTCTCCCTCTCCCTTCACCTCTCCCTTCACCTCTCCCTCTCCCTTCACCTCTCCCTCTCCCTTCACCTCTCAACATAAATTTTTTTATGTATCTGCTGGGGAAGAAGTGAAACAGAATACTATAGAGCAGTCCTTCTCAATCAAGGTTCTGTGGAACCTTAGAGTTCCTCCAGAGGTTGCTGAGGGTTCCATGAGGTGTGGCTGTATGACCAGCCTTTTTATGGTGCCTGAATAGTTCTTGGTCCAACATCACTCAGCACAGCCAATGGCATGACACCAATGCGTTTTAAACGTTCTGTAAGGGTAGCATTCTGAACACCAACATAGGGGACATTCTCCCTACTAAACCCCAACATTAGGGACCATTACCAAGCTAAGAGACATTTTTCCTACTGAACCTCAACAGAAGGAGGACTTCTTCCACTGACCCCCACCAATATAAGGAGCATTCTTCACACTGACCCCCACCAATGTAATGGACATTTTTTCCATTGACCCCCACCAATGTAAGGAGCTTATCTCCCACTGACCCCCAACAATGTAATGGACATTCTTCCCATTGACCTTGGAAAAACTATTTTAGCAAGGGTTTCCTGAGACTTGAAAAGGATTTCTCTGGGGTTTAAAGGTTGGGGAAGGCTGCTACTTGAGTGACAGCTCTGAGTCTGCTGGAGCTGCTGACATAACCTCTAAGGTGGCAACACTCTGAAGCAGTCTCACAATTTTTTTGATATCTACACAAGGGATGCTTTCACAGGTAAATAACATGTATAAAATATGGTAAATTAACATTCTCAGGGAAGATCTCGTTAAAATGAATGGTCTTTTGTGACAGGGTCTCTTTAAAATGGGGTAATGACAAATGAATAAAAACAAGGGCTTTTAAAGCATTATCTTTTACATGGAGGTAGCCATATTTGCTGGTTACATACTCAGGCTTTGCAGTTCTGCACAGTGGTTGTGCTTTACTGCTGCTTCTCACAACACAAGCCTTTAAGTCTGTATGGCAGGTACCCTGCCTCTAGTGACTAATCTACATTTAATACAACAAAATATTGAAACAAAGTAAATTAAAAAAATAACGTATCAATAAAAGTAAAAATGACTAAAATGTCAGATTGAGTGCAAAACCATCCCGCTGACTGCTTCCAGATGTATCTCTGCAACTGAAACTCTCCAAGGTGCTCAATACTAGCAGCAGGGCTTTTGAATTAGCACTGGGAGAAGGTCCTAAGGTCCTTTTAGTAACCAAGGTAAAAAAAAGGCAGTGCACCCCCAACCTATATGAGTACCATTTTGCACTTGCCTTCTGCTGCAACGATCTTTTCTGTCTACCCATTGGTCATGTGATGTATCATTCAAAACAGGGTTGTGCCAAGAGGCATAGGTGTCCCAATTCCTCCCCGATCCTCCTGACCCATTTACTAGGCTGTATCTGGTCAAGTCCCTTTTTGACACAACTCTTGTTTCTCTCTCATTTCTACAGGGAATGCTGGTAGCTGTGCTCTATTGTTTTGTCAACAAAGAGGTAAGTGATGGATCTCTTCCTGTGACCTGTACAAACTGACTTTTCTAACTGTTAAAATAGCCCAGAACAACAACAGGAACAAAAAACAAAAAAACTGAACATAAAAAAAAAAAAAAAAAAAAAAAAAAAAAGCAGCATCCTTGTTTTGTCAACAACACTATGCAATTTACGGAGAAGGAGCCATTAAAGCTGAACTCCGGGGAAAATTAAAAAAAAAAAGAATCCCTTGCAGTGGGCTTTCCTTGCACTGCGAGGGTTAAATGCTCATTTTTGTGTAGGGTACCAGTAAAAAAGCACACTTACATTATCTTTATCCCCCGTAGGCTCCTCCTCCCACAGACTCCTCCCTCTTTCCGGTCCTCCGCAGCCTCTTCTCTTTGGTGCTGCAGCTGTGATGTCATCTCTTACAATGTGGGACCGGCAGTCCTGCATTATAAGTGAGGAGCATCAGAGAGAAGAGCAGAGCTCCAGCTGCTGAGGGGTGTAGGAGAAAAATAGGTAAAAGTGCTTTTTAATGGCACTCTAAACCAAAGTTTACAACATTTTTTTTCAGTCCCGACACCCTTTAAAAGTATCTGGAGGCACCCCAGTCTAAAAATAAAATGCGTCAGAGGTCCCCTCATCACATCAGTCCCTCCTTCATGTCTGGGTCACCCCTTAATATCAAAGGCTCCCCCATCACATCAGAATAACTGCTATACACAAGACCCCCCTTCCTTCCCAAACAGAGTCCCTGCATCACACAGCCCCCCAGTCACAGGGTTCCCCCTTCACATCAGAGTCCTATGTTTTGACTGCAGCAGCACAGTAGGGGGGGGGGGAAGGTGAAGGTGGTCTGGAGAAGGCAGATTTCTGTTCTCTCCTGAATATGGGGGGGGACCCTGCATGGTGCCTGCCCTAGATCAGAATCATTTCGGGTGAGCCAACAGCCATCACTATAGCAACCATTGATGGGACACATCCCTACCCTAATGGACATTGGTTGTTCTAGTGCTGGCGGCTGGCCCACAACTATACCTGTATTACTATTATAGTAACAACTATAACTTCTGACATTGATCCAGAAAAAAACTGGGTACTATGCTGATGGCATCATAGTTGAGAAACATTGCCCTAGACCAGTGGCCTCCAAACAGTGGCCCTAGGGCCAAATGCGGCCCTCTGCTTGTTTTTATCCAGCCCTTGGGCCATTATTCCTCCCACTGTCAGCAACAGTGATGCATAGTTCCTGCGACTGCCACAAATTATGGGGCACTATTCCTTGCACTGCCAACAATGGGGCACTTTTCTTCCCACTGACACGAGTGGTGGGATAATGTTTTTGTACTTTTGTCAGTAACAGCCCGTTCGCAGAGGCATGTTGCAGTATCATACGTGAACGCCTTGCAGAAAACACAGTGGGGTGCCCTTAACTGGCACCTCATTGCACCTAGAAAGTACTGCATACCTCAGTATACTGCATCACAGCCTATGGATGTGAACCATTTGTGTGATGTTTTGAATGGTTTTGTGTTTTTTTGGGCATTCACAGCACAAACAAGTTGGCAGCCGTAACAAAAAAAAAAAAAAACACACAAATGCCACATGTTAACCAGGTGGATAGAACACAGTAACATACCAGTTCTAATCCATTTCCTGCTCTTCCTTTGGGCACTATTCCTCCCACTAACACCAACAATGGGGCACCATTCCTCCAACTGACGCCAACAGTGGAGCACCATTCCTCCCACTGATACCAACGATGGGGCACCATTCCTCCCACTGATACCAACGATGGGGCACCATTCCTCCCACTGGTATCAGTGGGAGGAATAATGCCCCATCGATGGTATCAGTGGGAGGAATAGTGCCCTATAATTGGTATCAATGATGGGACACTATTCCACCTGACACCAATGATGGTGCACTATTCCTCCCACTGATACCAACAATTGGGCACCATTCCTCCAACTCACACCAATAATGGAGCACCATTCCTACTACTGCTACCAGCAATGGAGCACCATTCTGTCCACTGACAGCAACACTGGGCATTATTTCTTCCATTAACACCAACAATGGGGCACCATTCTTTCCAATGACACCAACACTGGGCACTATTCCTCATTGACAGCAACTATGGGGCATTATTCCTCCCATTGACATAAACAATGGGACATCCTTCCTCCCACCAACAATGGGGCACTATTCCTGCCACGGTCACCAACAATGGGGCGCCCTTCCCTCCTACTGATACCAATGATGGGGTACTATGCTTTCCACTAACACCAACATTCGGTACTATTCCTCATTGACACCAACGATGGGGCACCCTTCCCCCCACTAACATCAACAATGGAGCACCCTTCCTTCCACTAACACCAATGATGGGACATTTTCTACTCCCTTTGCCCCCCCCCCCCAAACCTGAAGGACAGTAAATTGGCCTTTTGTTTTGATAATTTGTAGACCTCTCCTATGGTGTGAATAGGCCCCAATTCATTATGCAGTTGGACTGTACTGAGCACCCTTTGCTGCTGGGCTCTGTAGAAACGAGAGGAAAAAAATCTTGCTTATTTATATACATACATATATTTTTGTAAGAGTTACTTTCTCTACAATAACTGTCACTTGTGACATTCTCCATTCTGTGTCCGCTCCTTCCTCATATTCTGCT